TGCTCAGTTTATTTATTTGAATCTGTCTAGTTTTACAGATGTTTCAAAGCACTGCTGACCTGTCAGAATTCACCTGTTGGTATAAGCACAAAAAGTTTATCGAAGACTACAAAGAATAGTCGCAATATCCAAAGGAAGAACACCAGCTTCATGAGAGCTTTGGTTGCTCAACGCACATCTGTCAATAAAAACCCATATAGCATGAAAGAAGATACGGTCAACAATGCTTTAAGTGAATTTTCAAAGCCACCAGTATCTCTAGTGGTACGCTACAATGACTGATCAAATGGAGACCTCTGAAGGCAATTCTGTGGTGTTTAACATTGCTTTGTAAGGATCAAGTTTCCCTTGAAAATTAATGGAATCCCAGACAGTGGCAGATAAAGAGCCTCTAAAGCAATAGAAATGAAATAGATTCTGTCTATGATAATTAAAATATACAAAAAGAAACATTATGGACCAAGGAAACTTCTGGATATTGAGGATCTGAACCTTGGCTGACTCTCCAATTCCAGGTTAAACAGTAAATTCACTTTGTTTGTTTCAAAAGTTGCTCAATCCAAATTTAATTTATTGTGCTGGTGTTTTAAAAAGTAATGGAGACCATGGAGTTGTAAAATTGGCATTATCTAAAAGGAAAATTGGATAACTTTTTTTAAAAATGTCAAACTATAGATCCTGTCCATAGTCTGTACAATGGTTTCCATACATTGTGCGTTGCAGAAATAAATACATGGCATGAAATTCCTCCACTTAACTTAGAGGCATTAACTCATCAATAATAAAATGGACTAAAACCTTAATTAGAATGACCAGCCTTAGGAATGTGAGAAAAATGTTCTGCGTTCACATATTTCCAAAACATGTCTGTTAAAAAAAAGTTAGACAAAACAACAAAAAACTGACATTTGTGATAATGATTTGTATTAATATTGGAATGTGGGCTTGATATTGCACGTTGAAAACACAGATGACATTAGTTCGAAGAACAATGTCAAAAGCCAAAACAAAGGGCAATGGACTCTTTAATACTAGCCTTATCGAAAAATAACAAAACCACATAAACAATTTTTTTTCTGATGAAGGGTCTAGGCCCGAAACGTCAGCCTTCCTGCTCCTATGATGCTACTTGGCCTGCTGTGTTCATCCAGCTCTACACCTTGTTATCTCAGATTCTCCAGCATCTGCAGTTCCTACTATCTCCATTCAAATACAAATTTGATTGACTCCTGTCAGAAAATACAATTGAGAGTAATTTAAGATGTAAAAGACAGAGATAATAAGGAGAACTCTTTTTCTTTCAAAGGGTCGTTTGTCGGTGGAATTCTATTCCTTAAAAAACAGTGGAGGCAGGTTCATTGAAGATGTTCATGCTATCTGAGTTGTAATCGCAAAGGGAGTGCAGGGTCATGGGGCTCAGAGAGAAAAGCACACTTGAGGCCACTATCAGATCACTCTCTTATTGATTGGCAGAGCAGGCTTATTGGGCTGAAAGCCCTAATTCTGACCGCTAATGCCTACATTCCTAAATCATGGCATGTAATAAGTACAATGTGCTTCCTTTTAACTCTGGACCCAGGGTGCCCAAAAGTATCCTCCACCAAGTTGTCTTTCACCTCAGCTCCTGGTCTGTTGTACGTGAATTGTAGTATGAGTGACACTCACACCTTGTGAGTGAATTGAACTGTGATCATTGCACAAATCCATTACCCCATTTTACTTAAATGCCCACCAGGATGGTGGAAGGTGAACAGGATGAAACTTTCCATTTTGTTTAGGTTCCAAAAATGCTCTGTGTAAACAATCTGAAGCAACTATTTCCTTTCCTTTATATGTAGATTCACAGTGACATTTTATCATCACTCTGTGTTGTAAATTACTTATTAAACTGTTGCAGTCAAGAACATAAACCAGAACAGTCTTTCAGTTGTCTGCAGTGTCCTGTGCATTTTATGGTTTATGATACTGGGCCAAGAATGAATTCCCCTTACTTTAACTGCAGTTAAAAAGGGAAATAACATACTGGGGAAAGTCTATTCAAAATCTCTCACTTTCACTTCCGCACCCACTCTAATCCAGCTACCAAAGGAGAGTAAATATCTTGCTGCCTGAAGGTCACCCAAGTCAAACCAGGAGCCCACAGTTTGTACTAAATTAAAACCAAGCAAAGAACTGCAGATGCAGAAGATCTGAAACAAAGGCAGAAATTGCTGGAGAAACTCAACAGGTCTGGCAGCCATCTATGGAGAGAAAGCAGAGTTAACATTTCAAATCCAGTGATCCAGATCTCATCACAATAAATTTGCTTTCTCTCCACAGATGCTGCCAGATCTGCGGAGTTTCTCCGGCAATTTTTGTTTGCATTTCAGTCTATAATTTAGATTTGTTTTGACATCCCATTACCTCAATCAGTAAACACACAACTTTGTTTAACATTAAGCTGTACAGACCAGGATATTCCTGCTCAGTAACAGTGAGGGGACCTCATGTCTATAGTGGCTGGTGTCCTATAATTGGACCTTTGTTACATTGGGGAAAACATATCAATCTTGGGATAAAGAAGCAGGACCAAGTAAACAGCAATACTTTGAGAGTATTTATCCAGCGCAGGCCAGTGTCAGACTATTCTCACAGACTATCACAATATCACTTTTTTTTTTATATCCAGAAGTGTACACATGGCTCAGTGGTTAGCACTGTTGCCTCACCGTACCAGAGACCCAGGTTTGATTCCAACCTCGGGTGACTGTCTGTGTAGAGTTTGCACATTCTCCCTGTGTCTGTGTGGGTTTCTGCTGGATGCTCTGGTTTCCTCCCACAGTCCAAAGATGTGCAGATTAGGTAGATTGGCCATGCTAAATTGCCCAACAGTGTCTAGGACTGTGCTGACTAGGTGGATTAGTCATGGTAAATGTGGGGTTACAGGGGCTTGGGTCTGGGTGGAGTGCTCTTCAGAGTGTTGGTACAGACTTGACAGGCTGAATGGCCTCTACCTACATGGTTTGGATGCTATGAATATGACCAAAACACACAACTGAACTTTTTCTTCCCCCATCACTAAATCACTAAATTCTTTTGCATCTACTAATCGCCACCAGTAAATCACATACATTTCCAATTTACATCCATAGCCCGTTGAAGGCAATGGAAACCATCAAAGGTGAGGGATACATAGGGAGAGTGGGAAGGGGCTAAATCAAAATGGAGTTGGAAGGAGTATATTCTTAAACTTTTAACTTAATACATCTGGTATTGATAGGTCAGTTCAGATCACTGGATGGTCTATGTATTCATTCATTGGATGTTGTGTCGCTGGATGGGCCAGCATTTATAGTCCATCCCTAATTGTCCATGAGGAGGCATTGGTGAACCACTTCCTTGAATTGCTGTAGGCTCATAATGCTGTTAGGGATGGAGTTCCAAGATTTTGACTCAGTGAGACTGAAGGAACAATGACATATTTTCAACTCAGGATAGTGAGTGGCTTGGAGGGGAACTTGAAGGGGTGATGTTTCTATCTGTCTACTGCCCTTGTCGATCGAGGTGATGGAGGCCATGGGTTTGGAGGGTGCTGTCAAAGGAGCTTTGTTGAGTTGCTGCAGTGTACTTTATAGATGCTACACGTTGCTATTGTTGTGCATCACTGGTGAAGGAAGTGAATGTTGAAGGTGGGGAATGGATTGCCAGCCAAAAGGACTGCTAAAACCAGGTATCCAACTTCTTGAGTATTGTTGTGGCTGCATCCATCCAGACTAGTGCCTTGAGATGGTGCACAGACTTTAAGGAACCTGGAAGCAAGTTACTCACTGCAGGATTCCTACCCTCTGACCTGCTGTTGTAACCAAAATATTCATCTGACTGGATCAGTTCAGCTTCTGATTAACAGTAACACAAAGTTCGTAATAGTGGGAGATTCGGTGATGGTAATATCATAGAATGTCATTGGGAGATAGTGAGATTCAAAATGATCTGGTGATTGGGCATCTGCTCGAAATTAGCTATACCAAATGGTCAAATGAGTTCTTAGGTACTTGAACAGAAACCATTTTCTCTGGTGGAGGAATCCTAAACCATAGGCCATAACCTTATAATTAAACTTAGATCATTCAGGAGTGTGACAGAAAATAATTCTCCTCGCAACGGACAGTGGAAAACTTAGAATTCCTTTGCTTATAAAGATATGCAGATGAGTGCAGAGTCAATTGAGAATTTCCGAGGTTTCTCAATTTTTGCTAAGCTAGTGTATCCTGGATTAATGAACCAAGGTCCGTTCTGGCCTCCCTGCTGTGGGAAGGATGCTGTGAAGCTTGAAAGGGTTCAGAAAAGATTTACAAGGATGTTGCCAGGGTTGGAGGGTTTGAGCAATAGGGAGGGGCTGAATAGGCTGGGGCTATTTTCCCTGGAGTATCGGAGGCTGAGGGGTGACCTTATTGAGGTTTATAAAATCATGAGGGGCATGGATAGGGTAAATAGCCCAGGTTTTTTTCACCAGGGTAAGGGAGTCCAAAACTAGAGGGCATAGGTTTAAGATGAGAGGAGAAAAAGTGAAAGGGACCCTCACGCAGAGGAGGATGTGTGTATGGAATGAATTGCCAGAGGAGGTGGTGGAGGCTGGTACAAATACAACATTTAAAAGGCATCTGGATGGGTGAGTGAATAGGAAGGGTTTGGAGGGATATGGGCCAAATACTGGCAAAGGAGACTAGATTAATTAAGGATATCTGGTCAGCATGGACGAGTTGGACTGAAGGATATGTTTCCATGCTGTACATATCTGTGACTCTAAGGTTGAGAAATGGGATTAAGGTCCTAATCAGCCATGATCGAATTGAATAGTAGAACCAGCTCAAAGGGCTGAATGGCCACCTGAAGGTTCTTGTCTGCCATGGAGGGCAAAGAATGGGATGATAACAAGGATGACGCTGAAGAAATGAACCATTAAACCACAGATATGACTCTTTGTCAATACTCTGAACTCCAAACTCTGTCCTTCTCAACAGGCTATATTTGAAGTGATTTCATCAGAACACTCCTACATGCTGAGTCTCGATATCCTGATCCGCATGTTTAAGAATTCCGAAGCACTGAACTTAACTATGACCAAAACCGAGAGGCATCATCTGTTCTCCAACATCAGTGACGTCCAGAGATCCAGCATCATGTGAGTTAGTTGTGGTTTTTGTTGCTCAGTTACTTTGTTTTTGGTTGAATCTGGTTTTATTTGCATTCCTCCTTTGCATTGCCCCTGAGGTCCAGGAAATTTGGACCATCATTTGCTCACATTGCCAGTGCCAGGGGTAAATTGTACAATTGATTAAAATAGTCTGGACCTTTAATGTTTGTCGAAAGATTTGTAGGAGCAATGAAATTCAAAGTAAGCTGAATGGGATAAGGAAAAAAAAAATTTGGATTAAGAAAAATCAACCTGTATGGTTAACAAAAGTAACAGCTTCCTCCTATTTCTCCATGTACTTTTAGTGGACTGAATGTTCTCTTATGGTGTCTGGAATATGGATTGAATTGGAGTTTAGAAGAATGAGAGAGGGATCTCACAGAAACCTATCATATTCTAACAGGATATGACAAGGTAAACACAGAAAGGCTGTTCCTAGTGACTGGAGAGTCCAGGACCAGGGATCACAGTCTAAAAGAATGGGAATAGACTGAGATGAGGAGGGATTTCTTCACCCAGAGAGTGGTTGAGTTTTTGGAATTCCCTGCCACAGAAAGAGGCTGAGGCCAAAATATTGAATGTTTTCAAGAAGGAATTAGGTAAAACTCTTAGAGCTAAATGAATCAAGGGTTATGGGGAGAAAGTGAGAACAAGGTATTGAGTTGTTGATCAGCCATGATCATATCGAATAGTGGAGCAGGCTCAAAGGGCCAAATGGCCTACTACTGCTCCTATTTTCTATGTTTCTCTGTGTCATGCGCAGGAAGTTGCATTGACCCAGTGGAAAAATTTCCACAGCGACTTGAATTTATACAGAGCCCTTAAAGTAAGGAAACCTCCAAGCCCCTTCACAGATTGTTGTCAAACAAAATTTGTCACCAAGCTGCATAAGCAGGTATCAGGTGACCAACAGCTTACCCAGAAGGTAGAAGAGTGTTGTAAAAGGAGGAGAGAGAGGTACAGAATTAGAGAGATGGAGGTAAAGAAGTAGAGTGAAGGAGCGTTATAGGCAGGCAATCCTGAAACTTAAGTTCTAGGCAACAGGAATTCTCAAGAGTTCAGAACTGGAGGAGCAGTGATAACATGGAGAACTTGCAGAATTTGCTGGAGAAGATTACAGGAACAGCCTGAGCATTGATGTTTGGAAATGTTGGGTGTTGAAATCTCTCTGTGTTCTTTTTGAGTTTGTAGCTGAGTCCTGTAGTTAAGGCTTGTCATTGGAGCTCCTAACCAGTCCTTGTGTGTATTCTGCATAGTAGATTACTTCTGAAAATTGGAATATTGTTACAGCTTGGGCAACATTAGGAACTCGCCATTCAAGTCCTACCTTATGTGAAGACAAACTTTTCTGAATGCTGTAAAATGTCTTGGGGGAGGGAGAAGAAACAAACTGTAAAGAAACAAACAATAGAGGTGGGCCCTAAACGCAAACATGAGAATGGTCTCCAAGAGACATATACAAGAAGGGTGAGAGGCATAAATGCATAGTGGTTTTGGAAGAGAGTGCCAAAGAATGGAGGGGAGGGGAGCTGTTGGAATTGGCCATTAATAAAAGATGATAAGCAATGGGCAGGTGGTGTACTGTGCTATTGGAGGTCAACAGATTGGAGTTTGTATATCACAGCTAAGTACATTGACTGAGACATGGAGTGATGAGTGCACAGAAGAATATGAAAGGAACTCCGAGCCGATGTAATCACAAGAACAAGGGTGAATGATACAAGGGAGACAGGTGGGAAAGAGGAGGTTTGGCCATGATCTTATTGAATGGTGGAGAAGATTCCAGGGGGCTGAATGGCCTACTTTTTGTATTTAACAGGATTTTATGTGAGGCTGTTGCAAGATTGTGTGTAAGTAAAATGCTTGCGATTTACTGCAGTTTGTACAAGATTGGAGTGCAGGAAATAGGCAGGAAGCATTCCAGATATCAACTCTTGTGGTCATGATAATTTGCTTGAAGTGCTTTGCAGCAGTCGTAAAGTTGTTTAAGTGGACAGTATTCCAAAGATTGAAAATAACATAATTTTGACTCTATGCAGTCAAGGAAGAATTTGAGATTCCCTTATGCCATTTAATGTTTGCTATAGCATTTAGTTTTGCATACAATGCTGATAAGAGAGTGAGGTAATCAGTCTTGGTCTGAGAATGGAAAAGTAGCAGACTAATTGGTCCCCTTTTAGGAAGAGTCTTTATGAAGAGATAGCTATGCCCTCATGAAGGGAGCTAAATAACTATTTGAATTATAGCCCGAGGTTCGGAAAAAGGCAGTTCTTAGAAAATTGAGAAGAGTGAAATCAGTTGCCCTTTATGTTTTGTGGGCAACAAATACTTTTGATTTCCAAAGGTGACATAAATCCAACTGTGTTGACTTGGTTGTGAATGCTGTAGCAATGCTACTCACTTCAGGTTGAAAGACTGTGTGTTTATGCATGCTTCACACCAGAACATAGAACATAGAACATTACAACGCAGTACAGGCCCTTCGGCCCTCGATGTTGTGCCGACCTGTGAAACCAATCTGAAGCCCATCTAACCTAAACTATTCCATTATCATCCATATGTTTATCCAACGACCATTTAAATGCCCTTAAAGTTGGCGAGTCTACTACTTTTGCAGGCAGGGCATTCCATGCCCTTACTACTCTCTGAGTAAAGAACCTACCTCTGACATCCGTCCTATATCTATCACCCCTCAATTTAAAGCTATGTCCCCTCATGCTAGCCATCACCATCCGAGGAAAAAGGCTCCCACTGTCCACCCTATCTAATCCTCTGATCATCTTGTATGTTTCTATCAAGTCACCTCTTAACCTTCTTCTCTCTAATGAAAACAGCCTTAAGTCCCTCAGCCTTTCCTCATAAGACCTTCCCTCCATACCAGGCAACATCCTGGTAAATCTCCTCTGCACCCTTTCCAATGCTTCCACATCCTTCCTATAATGCGGTGACCAGAACTGTACGCAATACTCCAAGTGCGGCCGCACCAGAGTTTTGTACAGCTGCAACATGACCTCATGGCTCCGAAACTCAGTCCCTCTACCAATAAAACCTAACATACCATACGCCTTCTTAACAACGCTATCAACCTGGGAGGCAACTTTCAGTGATCTATGCACATGGACACCGAGATCTCTCTGCTCATCCACACTACCAAGAATCTTACCATTAGCCCAGTACTCTGTGTTCCTGTTACTCCTTCCAGAGTGAATCACCTCACACTTTTCCGCATTAAACTCCATTTGCCACCTCTCAGCCCAGCTCTGCAGCTTATCTATGTCCCTCTGTAACCTGCAACATCCTTCCACACTATCCACAACTCCACCGACTTTGGTATCATCCACAAATTTACTAACCCATCCTTCTACGCCCTCGTCCAGGTCATTTATAAAAATGACAAACAGCAGTGGCCCCAAAACAGATCCTTGCAGTACACCACTAGTAACTGAACTCCAGGATGAACATTTCCCATCAACCACCACCCTCTGTCTTCTTACAGCTGGCCAATTTCTGATCCAAACCGCTAAATCACCCTCAATCCCATGCCTCCGTATTTCCTGCAATAGCCTACCATGGGGAACCTTATCAAATGCTTTACTGAAATCCATATACACCACATCAACCGCTTTACCCTCATCCACCTGTTTGGTCACCTTCTCAAAGAACTCAATAAGGTTTGTGAGGCACGACCTACCCTTCACAAAACAGTATTGACTATCCCTAATCAAATTATTCCTTTCTAGATGATTATAAATCCTATCTCTTATAATCCTTTCCAACACTTTACCCACAACTGAAGTAAGGCTCACTGGTCTATAATTACCAGGGTTGTCTCTACTCCCCTTCTTGAACAAGGGGACAACATTTGCTAGTCTCCAGTCTTCTGGCACTATTCCTGAAGATAATGACGACATAAAGAGGCAGCTAGTGAAATGGAATATTTGGCAGTCATGGTCTACCTTATGCACATATGAGTTAGGAGGAAAATTTGTCCATTTTGGCCCATCAGGCCTGCTGTGCTATTGAAGATGATCTTGGCTGATCAGATTGTAACCTCAACTCCACATTTCCACCGTCCCAACCCTGATAACCTTTGCTTAGTAAGATTCTATTCATCTCTGCTTTGAAAATATTCAAAGACAATGCTTCCACCTCCTTTTGAGGAAGGCAGAAGTCACAACCCTCTAAGAAAAAATGTCACCATTCCTTAAGATGCATATGATTTGGTGTGTCTTGCCAACTTCTGGGTATCTGCTTTCTTGAGGGTGATGTGTGGTAGTGTTTAGGACAGGGCAGTAAGGTGTCTTTGCAGTTTCTGATGTTAGCTCATTCAGTGCTATTTCACAGTTGGGTTTAAATTCCCCAAGGATCGCCAGTGTTATTTTCATTGTGGCATATCGTGCAGTGAGTTATGGTTGACAGGGCCATGTAAATTAAAACAACGTCACTGTTAATTGTAATTCTTTGTAGCCAATTCTTGGTTACTGTGACAGCAAGTATGAAAGTGTATCTTTAAGCATGAGAGAGTTACTTGAAGCAGTTTGCCTTCGGAATACAACAGGGATTTATTTGCTTATTATCTGCTCATTGCACTCATCAATAATCCTTTTGGCTGCAACATTGGTATGAATAGTATTCATTAACATTCTGGTGCTGGTTTGTCAATGTTCCCTTTGTAGTTGCCCCTGTGATCGTGGTTGATGAATGACAATGAGGCCATCAAAAATTTCCTTAATGATTACTGTGGGAAAAAGCTTCTGCCTTCAATAGGTTAAAAAGGAAATTTTTTTCATCAAGGTTCCTTGTAAAACTCAGCTTCCAATTAACTCCAACAGCTTTTTCCTCACGCTATAGGTTTGTGCATGGAGAATGCATCGTAGAATTGATTTTATGACTTTTGCGTTTCTCGCGGAAAATGTCAGGGTTTGACGCTGTGTTGTAGAGTAAATAAGTAATAGGCAAGATAAAGTCACCATAGTCCCAATAGACTG